TGAACTTTTGAACCATTATATATTTGTAGTTTCTCTCGATTCCAGGTATTATGGGACTGGATGGAAAGTGGTCCATATCAGCAATAGAGAAGCTGAAAAGTCTCTTAATGAATCAACATGTAATAATTACAGTGAAAGAAGTTACTCAAAATATTTATCCAGTAATTGTGCAAAAAAAGAGTGAAAATTGTGTTATGGATATAGCAGAACAATTAATAACTGAAAACTTGGCAAAATACAGCAGTAATGGTGATCGTAAGTACTTCCAAACAATTGCTTGTATATTTATCTGCTACGTATATACCTTTCTGAAACATTGTATAGCTAAAACAAAAACTGGTAGCAAGTACTAGGAAGTGCATTTCAATTTTCACTTCGGTTTTTCACTAGTGGAATAAATATTTAAATGTATTTTTCCTTCATTTAGAATGCTCAAAGACAACAGATTGTTACTGTGTAGAGTTGAAAAAGCAAGTAAGTTTCAATTTGAAATTAGTTCTCTTGATTTCTAAGTACAGGTTGTTTACATAGAAATGATCCACAGAACACTTATCTGTAAAAATATTTTTACTGAACAAAAAAAGTAATCAGTCTTTTCAAATGTATAATTTACATAGTAAATATATTAATAAAAACAGTAAATTTTTAGAGGTCAATGCATAGTTGATGTTATGTACCCAAATGAAACTGTAATCTGTTCCTGAAATTTCACTAGAAATTTCAACTGTTTTAAGGCTCTCAATATATTTGAGTAATTGGCTGTAAAGAGGATGGATTAGAGGGGTTCTTCTCCCAAGAAAAGGCTATGATTCCAAAATTAATTATCTGTATTTCAGGAGTATTAATTCTTATTTTAACAAAAAAAGTGTACTAATATGAAATTAGCAAAAGTAAGTGTGAGAATGCTTCCAAACTAATAATTAGACAATAGTTGAATAAGTAGAGTTATAAATTGCAGCATTAAGCAAATACAATCTGAACTAGAATGCTTAGTGGTGCTTTCTGTTTGCAGTAAATGGACTGAAAACCTAGCTTGAGGCAAGACAATTCCATTATAATTTCTGGTTTTCCTCTACATTATAGGTTGCAAAACTTGAACAGATTCTTTATTTTCTTCTGAAAGACCGCTTTGGTGAAGATAACATTCCTGACATATTAAAGCCCTTGGAAAAATAAAATTATGCATATATCATATATTGTAATATATCAAATATTGTAAAAATAATACTAAAAGTTAATGCATTTGGTTTTATGTCATACTGAAATTTAAGTTGTTGATTTTGTGAGGTGCCAAAGTGCAAAACTACTTTTCTGCCAAGGGATGCCATGAAATAACTGGTATAATTTAGAAGCAACCATGTTTTGAGTGCCATTCGTTTTGCAGAAGCTATGACCTAGAACAAGGGTGTCAAACTCGTGGCCCAGCCGGGTGCGTCATGCATTGACCACGCTCACTCCCGGTTTAGCGAAGGGGAAAAAAGTAAAAAAAAGTGACGACAACGTGATGCTGCAAGTCCCCCCCCCCCCCCCCCCCCCCGACTTAGAACAATGTAATTGAATCGTGATACTTTTCTTAAGCCAGATCAAGGCTGAAAAGTTCATTGACTTTTGTGTTGCAACTATTTACCAAAGAAACAGTAAATAAAATTTATCCATACAAGTCAAGTGGCTTCTCAAAACCATTACATTTATCTCCAGTTTTGGGTAGGGTATTGACATAGACTTTAGACATTCAGATTAGGAATCAAATAGACTTGGTTGGGATAGAAAACAACGGTTAGCTGTCCATAACTGAACGCTAATATGTCTATAAGTTGTATTTTGCAATAATCTTGGCGTTCCCCAGGAAGAAATCTTGAATTTCTATGAAGTACAGAATAAATCCTTTCTTCATATACCTAAGGATGCCTGCAAGCCCACCCCCACTTCCCAAAGTATCTACACGTTCAACTACAGACCTAGTGAGAGCTGAAAACAATTACAATTTTATACATGCTCTCAGATTCTAATAAAGCCAGTCTCCAAAATGCACAAATTCTTCTGCAGTAAACCCTTAATTTAACAGTTTTCCCATTATTCCTAGATGTTTGTTAAATAACATTTGCAAACATTAAAATTCATGCAAATTTACACGCTTCATTTAGTCTATTTAAAATGCAGCTCTTCAAATATATAACAATGTGGATCCGTTCCTTACTGAGATAAAAGTCATTTGCATCTTAAGCTGAACACCTGAAGCAACTCTGACAAAAATAACAAACATTACAGGAAGTTTCCCTAGATGTCGCTACATTATATACTAGGACCCAGAAGGGCCTTCTCTGTAATGGCTTCCCTATGGAAATTAGATTTGCCCTCACTTTTTTGGAAGGCCCTGAAGACAGGATTCTGCAGCAGACCCGGGAAACTCAGAGTGGGATGGAGCCCATAAAATGGCTGGTATAAATGTGTTGTCATTTGTGGGGGGGGAGTTATTTTATTTCTTTTATTTCTTGTCAGTTGCCATGAATGAATAGGCAGCAATATAAATTTTCCAAATAAATAATTAGATCTTTAAGGGAACGGACAGTTGTTAGGTCGGTCCTAAAATACTACTTTACTGACCATAGCTATGTCCACATTTCCCTTTCCTCCTGACGTAGGTTGAAGGAATTAAATTGGTAGTGTTAGATCTTGAGGACAAACAGTATTAGGCATCTTTACCACTGATTAAAGCAGAGAATTGGATTCAGATTATTTCAGTGGTGCAGGTATGATACAGCATAAAATGTAAATTCATGCCTCAAGTGCTTTGAGTAGAAGTGCTTTCATTTTTTTTAAAGTTTTCTACACTTTAAAAAGTTGTAAATGCAAGGATTAGTCATAAAATTATATTTTCATCACCATAGTAACAATGGTAGCTAAACAAGACAATTAGTAAACAAGGAACGTCTGGAGATTCTCAGTCATCCAGGTCATGGTTGTCCCAAAGGTGCTCTAGGATTTATATCCTTCGTTCCAGGGGTGGGATTCTACGGGTTCTGTCTGGCTCTACAGAACCGGTAGCTCTGAAGAGCAGCAGACGCAACCGGTTCTGTGCTGCTGTTTTGGCCCGCCTGCCCGGGCTCTTACCTGTCCTTTATTTCCTGCTTTTCCAACCGCTGCGCGCCCGCACACAGTGCTGCTCAGCTGTCCGGGCAGCTCAGCAGGTCATAAATTGCACTCGTGCATGCGCACGTAACGCAGAGAAACAGAACTGGTAGTTATACCGGTCAGATTCCATCCCTGCTTCATTCCCCACCATCCAGTCAGCTGTAGAAGCTTTTGGGATGAGAAGTGAAACGTCTTCTAAGAAAAACTACAAAGTCCAGTTGCCTCTTGAAAAAAGCACCATTGGGACAGTAAACAAGGACTACATGTAGAGAGTCCTTGCTATTGTGAGAAGATTTCCCATCAGAAAAAATCTGATGCTAAAAAATCCCAATACTTGATCTGCACCTTCTGCCAGAAAAAATATTTGAAACTCTACTGCAAAAGTTTTTGAGCCATTAAAACAGATTCAGGATTCCCAGGATCCAGATCATTAAACAAAACAGGTATCTATTTTTGTTTACCAAAGGCAACCACTACCGATCTATCATTTTACAATTTAAGAGAACCTACGTTTCTCAGCATGTTGCAGACAGCTCACTATACTCTTGATGCTTGTCTCATATTTTCTGGTGTATGCTTAAATATAGTTGGGATTGGTTGAGATTTCAATTTGTAATGGGATGTGGGAATGATCTTGAGAAAAGGGGAAGAGATGCTGCCTAGGTAACAATCAGATGAGAAGTATCAGTTTTCTGCCTCATCTGTGGCTTAATGGCCAGAGAAAGAAACTTCAGAAGGACCCACTATAATGGATCAAGCAGTTAAAGTGGAGGTGGGAAGTTTTGTACTTTCAGACTTGGAAGACTGGTGTCAGTCCTGCAGATAAATTAGACAGGAAATACTACTAGATGAGCTACAAGTCTGGAAGTACAAAACTATAGGGGACGTGCACCCAATGTGCCTACCTTCCCTGTCCGATTGCTTTTTTTTCTTTTGTTTTTTTTAATATGTATCCATTTCATGTATTCATAACTATGTTTATACTTATACCTGTTATCTTACAATTGCTTGACTAAATAAAAATCAAACATCCCCACTGAACTGCTTGATCCATTAACTTCTGAATGAACCCACAACTCAAGAAATTACAACCTAGTGTATTAATTGAGTCCACTATATGTGGGATACATAATAGTAGTGATTATGTGCAAGAAAATAAGTGAATGTATAAACTAAGCCACTCTGAGGATTTCAGTAGCCATTAAAACAAGATGTAGCCAGAAAGAAGAGTAGTAGGCCACAACTCAAAAAAGACACCCACCTGGCTGAAAGAAACACTCACCTGGCTGAAAGGGGGAAAGCGGGAAGGGTTGCCTGTCCCTTTGACCCCAGTGTGTAATCGGTTGCTGGCATTCCTGCCCTGCATTCCTCACCTTAAAGGTACACACCTCTAGTGCCGAGTCCCGAATTTCCTTGGCACTTGCCGCCTTTCCGAATAGGCGGAGACATAAAGCCCTTCCCACCTACTCAGCCTGTCCAACATGACCCAACGGGCCCTTGGAAGGCGAAGTAGGAAACACCCTTCTGACTCCTGCGCAAAACCCTCCACGCTGTGGTGCAAGTTTGTGCGGAAAGTTATCTTTGCTGCAGCCTCCTGGGGAAGAGTTTTTAAGAGTGCTGCAGAAAGGAATAGAGCAGCAATTCTCAGCGTGCCTGGCGGGAGTATAACCATCTGCCCCGTGGACTGTTTGACTGCGGCAAGTAAACGTTGCCCGGAGCACAGCGCTCCCTTGTTCACAGAAAAGAAAGCAGAGGGGGTCAGGGGGAAGGGGAACCCCGAAGCTAAGCGCCATCAGCGCTCCCCTTCCCTGGAAAGTTTATTTTGTGTGTCTAATACGCTGCACCTTCAGCCAATGAGTTTCGGGAAACGAAGGCGCAGGTAAGTTTGAACCCCTTTTATCAGCTGGTCTTTGCAAAACAAAAAAACGAAGAAAAACAGCGGCGGACGAAGGCTCGAGAGCCGAAAAGTTGCTGCGCGGGTCATCGTTCCGATCCGTAGAAAGGGAGCCTAGCGCGAAGGCTTCAAACAGCCTCCTAGAATTAGGCGGGCGCCCCATCTCGCTCCCTCTGGTCTTTTCGGAGTAGCATAGAGATCAGCGGGATTGAGGGATTTGGCGGAGGGAGGGAGGCATTTGGCAGATTTTAGAGTAATCGGATTATGAATCAAAATGCTCTCCGGAGGTCAGTTTTGCAGTACGACCAGTGATGAAGAAGAAATTGTTCTTTTTATTTCAACTCCCAACCCACATTTCCAATATTTGGAAAAGCTGTCCTGCACACAGAGGGTTTGAATTAAACAACACTGTTATTAAACGAGTTTCGCATCTTTGCATTTTAACCCTGGATAAATACATTCCACAATGTTTTGGAAGCAAGTGCCTGGTGCAAGGTTCCGTAACTCTACAATCCCAGAACTATTGGCCCACACACGCCACCATTCTCAATCTAGTGTGGGAGTTGTAGTAAATGAATTGTCTGCCAACAGTTTGCTAAATTTTGTAAATTTTGGCCTTCTCTCCTTATCCTGATCCCAATCTCAGTTTTGTCCATTTTAAATCTTGGGACTGGAATAGTTATAAACTGAATCTTGTTGCACATTGGCTATCCAGATCATATGACAAATACATATTTTTCCATGTGAACCTTGATAAAAGATCCTAAGATTGTAAGAGTTCTCATTTTTAGAAGAGAGGTCTTTTTCAGACCACATGTTAAATTAAACACAGAAAAAATTGGGGATTATGTTGGAATCTACAAGTTTTATTCTGTCCCTGTATTTGTATTTTGTGTGTGTGTTTGTGTATGTGTGTAATGTGCATACATACACTGTCCAGCTTAGAATTTTAGAGAACCTGGAATTTTGTTTTGAGTATTAACTTTTGACTTTCTGCTTAAATAAGCAGACATAACTAGCCACATATTTTTGAGAACTGTTTTTGAAAGCTGTTCCTCTCAGTTCAAAAGCACAATATTGTATATACAAATGGCAATAATAACTTGCAAGTGATTTCCAAGGCTTTGCTAAAATTTCCTAATACAGCCCAAAGCAACACAGCTACTTTTCTTGTTGAATGAAACCAGGTCTAAAAGGTTAGACAAAAATAAAAAGCCTTGTGCAAAAGGGAATATTAGAATAGATGCATGATTTACCCATAATCTCATCTTAAATCACTTCACTTAAAGCAGAGATGTGCAGATTAAGGGTCATATCTGAATGGCAGGCTAGAATGGTACCTTGGGAGATAATGGCTGGGATCAAGATGCACAACTAAAATGTAATCTCATTAAAATTTCAAACTAAATGAAATTAAACATAGTGCAATTATTGTGTAATTACTTATTTAATGTTAGAAGAAAAATTATAATCTGACCATAATTCTTGCAATTTCTTCATCATAGCCAGGAGCTATATGTAGCCTCACAGCTGTACATTTCAGCATAGGGGACTGTAGACAGCAGAATGAAGAAAAACCTCATGTATTTTCCATAGGACTATTTGGGAAGCGATAGCAAAAATGCACCATTCAGCTGTTCATTTGCCAAACTGAATTAATTCCAGCACCTGCCCTTATGTAAAGGTGAAAGAGAACAGATTTATCGGTTCAATAGTCAATTCATTATTATATTTTAATGTATGGGATGATACCAGAAGAGGCTTTTATTTTACAGTCACCCTCTCTTACATGTGAAATGTCCATGCTATCTTCCATTTCTTACCCTCTAATGTTTTCCCCAGTTCTTCCCACCTTTTCTTGCCATAATTTATTAGGTAAAGAAATGTGAGTACATTTTAATTGCTAACATTTCATCTTCAAGAACATTTCTCTGTTTACATTTGGCCTGAACCATTTTTTTAAACATTAAATAACTGAATCAAGAATAAATCCATTTAAAGATAAGTCATGCAAGAATAAATGGGACTATACATTATGGTAAGCCATGGTATATTTTAACAATCATTTACTGGACCATCATTCTAATCTCATTAATGCATAATATTAACCTATTAGTCAATAAGGGGTTCATCACTGTTGTCAATCAGAGTGAGCAATCAGAGAGCAATTGCATACCAATAATTCATCATTTTGGCACCACAGAGAAGCACAGAGCCCCATTTTAATAGCAAGATCTGAACTCTTTAATGTGGGTTTGCATGAATCTGAATTTGCTAGTGTGTAAACAGTTGTATAACCTCAATGGCTTTTAAAATTCCATCTGTGTTGCATTCAACAGAGAACAAATAAAGGACATCTGTTGGTGGGTGGTTACATGCATGGTTATGTGAATCTGTCCTTGCTTTTTATTATTTCCCAGCATTTCTATTTTTATAATGTGTGTTACTATATCAAAACATGTTCCTGTAATTGGATTCATACACTCAGTTAATTTATTTTAACCATGGTTTATTAACTAGAACACAATATAATTAGACTCAGATAATAAGCTATGGTAAGTCATAAATTATGCTTTAATGTGATTAATTTATCATTAGATAATCTAAACGTGGATAAGATCATATTATATCTTAGAACAAGCCCATGGACCAGATGCGTCATGTGCTGGCCATGCCCATTTTAGCGAAGGGAAGAACGTCCTGATATGTCCTGTGATGCCGCTGTGACAACATGAGTTTGACATCCGTGACTTAGCATGATCTACAAACTCAGTATTTTAAAAGAGACATATTAAAATGCTAAAATACAAATCATTTTATTAATGTTACACATATATGGCCTAGACATGTGCTAATTAAAAATGTTGATATGGTTTCATTATGTCATTTCATTACCAATTTAAATGTGCATTACTTTTCAAAATGTGGTATCTTATCAATAGAATTGTTTTAAACGAATGCTTTAGAGGGGAGACAGGATGCAGAGAATAGATAGATAGATAGATAGATAGATAGATAGATAGATAGATAGATAGATAGAACATTAAAATTAGACACATTTAATGAGGTTTAACAAGTCAAATCAATGTTGTGCTAGAATTCTTGACTTTTATCGAATTTCACTTGCACCACTTCTGCATTCCTTTGCCTTAACAGGCTGCAAAATGAAGGACAAGAAAATACTCAAGTAATGGACCAATCTATCTTACTGAACATTAGCTTCTTCATAGCAATGTTAGTTTTTTATTAAAAAAAAACATTAGTAACCAGGCAAGCTGCAAGCATACAGTTGAAAGCAGCCTTCTTCTGTTGGGCCACATGCATAATTGTTGATGTTTTTCCCTGAACCCTCCATACCCCCATCACCTTTTCTGGAAACATGTCTCAGGACAATTCAATAAATAAACAAGTTAAATTATTTCAATGGAACAACGGCCAATAATAAAATAAGAAAAGTCAATCCAGAAATACATGAGTTACAATTATTTTGATGAAAATATGGTCACCAATAATAAAAGTAAGTAAATGAAACAATTAATATAGCATTGAATTGTCTCACAGCAAATTGGCCATGTGAGTTGGCTGTGGCCCTGGACCAAGGTCTTCAAACTTGGCTAGTTTAAGACTTGTAGACTTCAACTCCCAGAATTCCTGAGATAACATGACTGGAGAAGTCCACAAGTCTTAAAAGTCGTCAGTTTGAAGACCCCTGCCCTAGACTTTACCTCTTCTAACTCACAGGGAGATAATTGTTCTCTGCTGCTGTGCTGGCTAGTATGGGGAGAGTTTGAAACAAAAACAGCTCAGGTGCAAATAAAAAAACAAAACAACCAGTCATAATGTTTGGAAAAGTCAGAACTTCTGTACATGTCTTGAAGTAGCTAAGAACAAAATCGTTGTTCTCTTCCACACTCTCAAAATACATGTGTTGGTTTCAGGTTCACAAGAGTCAAAACAATACTTTCATGTTGAGATCAAAATAATTTACATATCCCTAAGCCTTAAATTAGGTTAATATTTTCTGTAAGTTTCCAGGGCTTTTGAAAATTTTGGGATACACCTATAGATCATCAGAGTTGGTGATATTAAGAAGCAAACCAATGCGTATTATTAGAGTAAATATAATCAAACATTTCCTTTTAAATGCTTGAAATCACACTCCATTTTGTTTTCTGTTTTGATAGTTTATCTGGATCCCTTGTTTATCTTCTCACACAGTGAATATAGGTTTACCACCATTTGAATTATCTGCCTTAATAATTGACCTGTGGAAGAAAATATTGTTAGAAATATCAAGAATTGTCTCCTTTTCATCTCTTGGGAGGATCATAACTCAGTTTTTGATGATGAGAAAACTTTTAGGCTATATTCAGATGTTTTTAAAGATAATAAAATAAAGACTTTGAGAATGTTCATATATGGGCAAAATTAGATCTTATTGGAAGACTATGGAATTGACATGTGTTTGCAGCTCAAGGCAGTTTGGGAGAGAGCATATACATATACAGTTTGGAGAGAGCATATAGCTCTGGCATTGGAGATTGATTCTAGAATAATTCTGTCTGAACCATATCAGCTTGAATTTTGAAGGTTAGAACATGTCAACCAAAGCAAACTTAAGCCTGTCTGATTCATCTCTCCCTCTAGAGTTTATGATTATACTAACTGATATACCTATTTACAGAAGAATGCTTAAATAAGTCTTGCCTTTAGCCAAAAGAGTTTGAATAAATAAGAATAAGTGTTTGGATTCTAGCCTGTACTACTTCATGTGTTAGTATCAGCTTTTCATAACAGCTGACATACATTCAAGATAAAATATTCTTCCTGGTATTCTGGTATTTTCATTGAAATAGAAGTGTCTATAACTATTGTCCATGAGCCATTTTTATTCAATGATTTTCCACAAAAAATGACATTGCAAGGAATAAAAATGGTTTCTATTTTTGACATTTCCAAATAAACTTTTTAAAAACTTTTGTATG